GCACCCAACAAGCAGCTCGGGCAGATAGCAACATCTGCTGTGGGGGAGGAAGGCCAGCGGGTCAGGCCTGCGGGGGGCGGGAGACCCGTGCCTGCACCGGGAGAGGCTGGAGCCACCTGACCCCGCACCACCTCCTGCCCAGTCCAACATCACCCGTGCCAACTGCAACAAGGTGATCATGATGTTCACGGATGGGGGCGAGGACCGCGTGCAGGACGTCTTCGAGAAGTACAACTGGCCCAACCGCACGGTGAGGCTCGGCCCGGGCGGGGGTGGCCCCGGACCTGGGCCCTGCGCGGGGCAGGGCTGCGCTCTGGCAGCCGCGGCAGTGACCCCCGGCCCCACGCAGGTGCGAGTGTTCACCTTCTCCGTGGGGCAGCACAACTATGATGTCACACCCCTGCAGTGGATGGCCTGCGCCAACAAAGGTACCTCGTCCGGGCGTCGCCGCCCCCAGGCCTGCCTGCCGCGTTCTGCTATCCCTCGGGCTGGCTGCCCGCCTGTCCTTCCGTATGTCCAGCTGCTTGCCCATCCACTGTCCATCTCTCCCTACGTGTGGCTGTTCATCTGTCTCTCCGTCTGGCTAACTTGTCCATCTGACTGAGCATCTTTTTGCCCATCTGTCTGAATGTCCGTTGTCCCTCCGTCTCCCAGCTCGTCTGCCCCTGTGTCTGTTTGCTGGTCAGTCTGTCTCTCCTTGCACTTGGGCCTGTCCCCTGGGTGGACTCTGAATGTCACCGCCAGCCTAGAACGAGAGACCTCAGGCCTCAGGCTCCTCTCTTCCCCCCACTCTGCTTCCTTACACCCCTGCACTCACAGCCCCTGATAGAGCATCGGTCCAGTTTACAGCGCATGGCAGGGAGCACTAACAGGACGTGATTCAGGGGGAGTGACACCAAGAAGAGAGGGAGGAGCCTGAGGGACAAGTCAGGGCCGCGGACATACCCCAGGGCCTCTGTCTGTGGGTCCTGAACACCACCCAGGCCCGCCTCTGCCTTGCCTTCCCTCACAGGTTACTATTTTGAGATCCCTTCCATCGGAGCCATCCGCATCAACACGCAGGTGAGGCTGTGGGGGGCCCCCTGCTCCAGCCCCTTGCTTGTAGGGGGAGGGACAGCGGCTATGATGAGCTGCTGTGGGGTGAGAGCGCCCTCTGGTGGCGTGACGATGCACGCGGAGGCAGAACAGGGAAGCGTGGTGGGAAGGACAGACTCTCGACCCCTGCCTACAATCCCTTCCCCAGGAATATCTGGACGTCTTGGGCAGGCCCATGGTCCTGGCGGGCAAGGAGGCCAAGCAGGTGCAATGGACCAACGTGTATGAGGATGCGCTGGTAAAGCCTCTGGGCGAGGAGGGGGTGGGGCTGGTGACCTTCCCCCACGGATGTGCCCAGTGTCGTGCCCCTTGAGGGCCCCATTGTGGGGGTAAACCAGGCAGAGGAGCAGGAAAGGCAGCTTGCACCTGAGCTCCTGCTCTGAACACTGGGGCGGGGGCATGGCTGGCCACAGGAGACCAAGCTGTCCTCCTCTCCCTTCAGGGGCTGGGGCTGGTGGTGACAGGGACCCTCCCAGTATTCAACCTGACGCAGGATGGCCCTGGGGAAAAAAAGGTGAGACCCCCCCCACATTGGGGAAGAATGAGGTGTGGCTGGGGAGGGTTGGCATCCCCATAGCAGGTCTGGGGTAGAGGAGGGATGGCAGGCCTGCAAGTCGGACAGTGAGAGCCGCGTGAGGCCTTGGGCATGGGGGTGGGCAGGGGGCACCCCATGGAATTGAGCCCATTGCAGACCCACACCTCTGCTCCCAGAACCAGCTGATCCTGGGCGTGATGGGTATCGACGTGGCTCTGAATGACATCAAAAGGCTGACTCCCAACTACACGGTGAGTGTCCGCCTGCACATTCGCCCTGCCCTGCCGCCCATGGGGACACAGCCAGGCCGCGGAGGAGACTTGATGGTGATTAGAACACCCCCATAGAGACCTCTGCATTCAGGCAGTCAGGGAAGGCTTCCGGAGGAGATGACCTTGGGCCTAGAGCTGGGGTCCGCAGACTTTCTGTAAAGGGCCAGACTCTGACTGTTTGAGGCCCGGCCAGCCTCAGTACTCACATTCATACTCCATTCTGCTGTTGTATTGGGAACACGGCCACAGGCAAAACAAACAAATGGGCATGGCTGTGTTCCAGCACAATTTTGTTTGTGGACACTGAAATTTGAATTTCAGATTAATTTTCACATGTCATGAAATAGAATTGTTCTTTTGATCTTTTTTAAGCATTTAAAAATGTCAAAGCCATTCTCAGCTGGCAGCTGTACATTACCAGGAGGTGGGCCAGGTGTGGCCCACGGGCTGTAGCTTGACGCCCCCTGGGCTTACACATGGCAGGAGCGTGCTGGGTAGAAAGGCAGGGAAGGCGTACCTTAGAGGCAGAGGGAGTCCTCTGGACAAAGGCCTGAAGGTGAAAAACAGAATCGTAACCCAGGGAAGGGGCAGGATCAGTGCGGCTGGCCCCTGGCCTGTGGCAAAGGGAGTTTGAGGCTTGGTCGGGAAAGGGGAGGCAGATGAGGAATGTGAACGAGCCACACACAGGCCACATGTCGTGGGCTCCATGTGCACTGAGAAAACTACTGAGAGGTAAGGGTGGGTCCAGAGTCTCACTTCTCCTTCCCTTCCACATGGAAGGGACACCCCAGGCCTGTGGGATTCCAGGGTCCATTCCTCCAGCTGTGCTCTAGAGATGGGGACCAGGAGGAGGCAGTAAGGGGGTGGGGCAAGGGGAGCAGCAGCAGCCTGTGGGGCCAGTGGAGGTGGAGCCATCCGCTGACAGCTCCATTAGAACCGGCGATGGGCTGGGAAGGACAGGCTGCCAAACCAACGGTGGTCCCACAGAGCTGGTCAGCCTAGGCCAGCGCTGCTCCGTGAGGGGCACCAGCCTGCTGGGCGTGGCTTGAGAAGGAGGCTTGGGCCCCGTGGCATGTAGGGGCCCGGCCCAGGCAGGCAGATGGCACCTCTCAGCCGCATGGAAGGCAGGAGGAAGAAGTCCAGAGCTTGGGGAACCCCTGCCCAGCCCTCCAGGCCCTGAGCTGCCCCCCCCCCC